CTGCCAGAACCGGTTTCAGCCACCCTTAAATGCGCCCCTGCGTCCAATCAGTGTGGACGCGCTAGTTCGATTTAGCAAAATGCTAATTTGAACTAGTTTTTAGTTCTAGATGCGTTAGTTCGAATTAGCTTAGTTCGAATTAACTAATTCGAACTAAGTTAGTTCGAATTAGCGCTGTAGTGTAGACGTACCCTTACAGTGTAAAAATAAGTAAAATTGCTGAAATTTCTGAAGAGAACCCTCCCGTTTCTGTATCTGCATCTTCATCTTTTTTTGAAGATAGTGGAGATGTGTGAAGATGAGTGTCTTTAGAAAAGATAGTAGAATTTACCTATATCACTTTTTCTCTGAAGACCTAACAGATCTTTTGAAGCTATTCATATCCTGTGGTGGGACAATAGGCCCCAGCTGAGATATTTCTCTGTCTTTCTCGCAATCTTTCCTCCTCGTCCTCCTCCTCCTCATCATCTACTTGAATCTGCAAAGGATCATCTCTTTTTCCATGCAAATGATTATGTAATCACAACATACGAACATAAGAATGACTGTACTGGGTAAGACCAAAGGTCCATCTAGCCCAGTATCCTGTCTGCCGACAGTGGCCAGCACCAGGTGCCCCAGAGAGGGTGGACCGAAGACAGTGATCAAATAATTTGTTTCCTGCCATCCCTCTCCAGCCTCTGACAAACAGAGGCCAAGGACACCATTTTATCCCCTGGCTAATAGCCTTTTATGGACCTAACCTCCAAGAAATTATCTAGCTTCTCTTTTAACTCTATTATAGTCCTAGCCTTCACAACCTCCTCTGGCAAGGAGTTCCACAGATTGACTACACACTGTGTGAAGAAGAACTTTCTTTTATTAGTTTTAAACCTGCTACCCATTAACAAGGGCAACATTATGGCTTCATTGCGAGATCAAATGGGGGATGGATTGTGAAGGAACCCAGCTGTGGTTTAAGGGGAAATAGCATTTTCTAGTTAACAAGTGTGGTAAGAGTAGTTAAATAAAACAAATGAATGGTGAATTGATTTATGCTTTTAGTCTGATTTAGCTGGAGGTTTTGCCCAGTCTGAAGGTCATGAGCAAACTCGGGGCTCTTGAAAAATCTCATATTGCTAGAAGTGTTTCAACTCAGCTAGTTTTTGTGGTGTTCTAGTTTTATTCTTTACTCTTAGAAACCTGTCATAGAAGACTAATATGTGGCCTGAGAAGTTTTCTGTAGGCATTGCTTTCCCATTGATAGTTAAATCATCATGCCGCATGCCCTGGGAGACTGATAACCCACATGTTTAAATGACATGCTGGTGGTGAGGTAAAACTTTTCCTACCATTCCAAGTAGTGGGCTGGGAAAGATTAAAAACTGTGGGCCAAGAGACATCACAGATGGGGCACATTACATTGCCTGCACTAGGGTGGAATGCTGTACTCTGGAAGTGGACTTATGCCAGAGGTTATGTTGGATGCAGCGTAGGTTTAGTACATAAAAGCCCTGCCAGGAGATGCATTAAGTCAACTCTCTCCCAACGAGTTTAGCCACTTCCTTTCCCTGGCTAACACTGCCCAGCTTTTGATACATTTTGGGCTCAAATGCGTCTTCTTGCAGATAGGATTGTGAGCATCTTCTATGGATAGTCCCCCATGAAGGACCCAGTAGCCTGGTTTATGCTGGTAAGCAAGAACCAAAGTAGATAATTCCCCTACATCCATAGGATCTTTTAATAGCACTGATATAAGTGCAGTTACAATACAGGGCTCAGCAATAGACTAGTTTTTCTTCAGCATTGTAAGCAGAGGTGGGTTAAGACTAGTATACTGGGTCTGAACCCATCTGAGCTGGGAGATGCTCAGATCAAGATTTTTGGGTCAAAGTTTCTGCCTCATTTCTAAACATTCTCTGCAGTTCTGACTCGATCAGAGATGGACGAGGCAGCTTGTGTATATTTTGTGCAATAGATTTACAACTAAGATGTGGGTGCTGAGGTCACTATTTCAGTATTGCTTGTGCTCTCAAATACACCCTTTGAAACATTTCAGTTGCCTGCGGGTTTGCCTACATGGAGACTTACAAGAAAATTAATACAACTTATCTAAACCTATTAATTTTAAGTGGATTAGTTAACGTGGATCAATTCCTACATGTGCTGTTCTTCCAAATTAAAATGGCTTTAATTTGGTTTAACTAAATTCACTTTGGCAGGGATTCAGATTTACTTTCCTGGAAGTTCCAGTGTGGGCAAGCCTGCAAAAAGCTACATAATTTATTTCAATATTTGCAGTATTCCCTATATCAAGTCTAGAGAAGTATAGGGAATATTGCAAATAATGAGGGGAAATAATTAGATTGTTAAATCAAAATTAGACCATGTTTTAAGGGTGATTATTGTATGTGCACTGCTCTGTTATGTGTATCAAGGTTGTTCTTTGTTCAAACTTTCTGTAGCAAAAGATTTATTGAGATAAAGGCTTAAACAGTAAACCAATTAAATAGAGGTTGACATTGAGATCTGAATGTTGTAGTTAGTTCTTTTGCCCACCCTTTTTATGCCTCCCAAGTCTGTATTCTCCTGGGGCATGTCTACTTTGCGTAGCTGAAGTTGAAATAGCTTTATTAGACTTTTGGCACTGTCTGCACAGCAGGAAGTCGAAGAAAGAACACTCTTCCTTCAATTTCCCTTACTCCTTGTGAAATCAGAGTTACAGGAGTTGGAGTAAGAAGTCCTTCAGCTCGCCATTACTTCGAAATAATGGCTTACCATGTAGACGCTCTCATTGTTATTTCAGAACAACTAAAATCCAGAATACGGAAAAGAGAAAAGTCAAGAAAAGGTTGGTTTATACTGGACTGAATAGACTGAATACTAGAGATATTAAAATTATTTTTGTGAATGTGTAACCGCTGAAAATTTCAGCAGTTACACATTTACACATGAGGGGAATGGGAGCTGGCTCCCTGCATGTACCGGCTCCCACCTGCCATCCCACCTGCACTGCTGCCTCTTATACAGAGGCAGCAGCGCGGGGTGGGGGCGACAGTCAGCTCGGTGGAAGCCTGTACACATGGGGAGCCAGCTTGAAAACTGTCTCCCCACATGCACTGGCTCCTGCCTCTTCTGCCTCCAGCAGCAGGGGAGAGTTTGAGTGTAACCATGAGGGTTAACTAAAGAGCCCAGGCTCATCGGTTAACTGTGTGCATGGGTGCATGCTCACATCCCTACTGACTACTAAGCTTTCTGAATCCTTTCTCCGATGATCCAATTGCAAAGAAAACAGAAAATGCGACTCTCCAGAGAAAAATTAAAATTAGCCTTTCTGCAAACCACCTTGCCACAGAATGTTGGGGTCTCAGAATGTGATGTCACAATTCAAAAAGGTTGCTAAGAACTATGGTTTCATATAGTTTCACTCTGTATTGAAATCATTATTTTAATATACAAAAGCTTTATAAGAGAGAGAGTCTTCAAAAGCATTAGTCCTATGCTTTAGTGGTCACTTTGACCAAAGAGAGGAATGATTCTTTAGCATAATGACAGAAAATCAGAATGACTTTTTAGATTGTTAACTCTCCAGGGTAAAAATTGTCTTCCTTATGCAATCCTGAAAACACTCTGGGTATGTCTACAGTACAGCACTAATTCGAACTAACTTAATTCGAATTAGTTAATTCGAACTAAGCTAATTCGAACTAGTGCACCTAGACCTAAAAACTAGTTCGAATTAGCATTTTGCTAATTCGAACTAGCATGTCCACATTGAGTGGACACTGAACCGAGGTTAAGAATGGCTGGAAGCTGTGCCAGCAGGGAATCAGATTAGGACTTAGAGTGTGGAGCTGCTGCCTCAGGCTAGCCGAGGGCTGTGCTTAAAGGGACCCGACCCCCACCCTGGACAGACAGTTCTCAGGGGTTCCCCGCTTGCAAAGCAGTCCTGGCTAGCAGTGCCCTGAGTGCCCATACTCGGCACATCACAGCATTTGGCCATCGGCCCGGCTGCACTTGCCGCAGGCTGCCATTCAGGAGGAGGGGTTAATCGGGAGGCTGCAGGAGAGCTTCCACCCCAAGGAGCCTGCAGAGCCATCCCAGACCTCCCCATCGGGGCTCGTACCCCATTCCTCCCTCACCTCCTTCCACTTACCCCTCCCTAGCCCCCCTTCCTGATGTACAAAATAAAGGACACATGTTCAAAAATAGAAACTCTCTTTATTGAACAAAACTCAGGGAGACTGGGAAAAGGAGGTGGGAGAGGGGAAGAGAGAGGTTGGGAGAGGGGAGGGCAACTAAAATGATCAGGGGTTTGAAACAGGTCCCATATGAAGAGAGGCTAAAGAGACTGGGACTTTTGAGCTTAGAAAAGAGGAGACTGAAGGGGGATATGATAGAGGTCTATAAAAGCATGAGTGGTGTGGAGAGGGTGCATAAAGAAAAGTTCTTCATTAGTTCCCATAATAGAAGGACTAGAGGACACCAAATGAAATGAATGGGTAGCAGGCTTCAAACTAATAACAGACAGTTCTTCTTCACAAAGCAAATAGCCAACCTGTGGAACTCCTTGCTGCAGGAGTCTGTGAAGGCTAGAACTATAACAGAGTTTAAAAAGAAGTGAGATAAATTCATGGAGGTTGGGTACATGGAGTACTATTAGCCGGGGGGTAGAAATGGTGTCCCTGGCCTCTGTTAGTGGAAGGCTGGAGATGGATGGCACGAGACGAATGGCTTGGTCATTGTCTTCGGTCCATCCCCTCCAGGGTACCTAGTGTCGGCCGCTGTCGACAGACAGGCTACTGGGCTAGATGGACCTTTGGTCTGACCCAGTACGGCCAATCTTATGTTCTAAGCTCAGGGCTCAGGGTCGGGGTGTCTCATTGGACCACCCCATTTTAATGCCAACCTGCTCCTGGGTGGCCAGGCTGGCAGCTATCCTGCCGTAGACGGCCACTTTCCCTTGCCTAGTGCG